ATCCTTAATTTATTTCTAGTCTGGAGAATAAGATTTGAACTATTGATATTTTTATATCCATTAAAATGTCCTCTGAAATCAAAAAAAATTACACCAGCAAGCAAAAAAAGGGATATGATATTGCAAAATCGATCCACTTATCATTCTTCTTATTGGAAAGACGCATCTCGAGTGACCTTTGAACACTTACATCATCCGCCCCCTCGACCAGTATCAGATACACTAATTCAAAAGTACTCTTAATTCATTTGTAAATCGAAATATCAATTCGTAATAACTTTTTAGTAATCCGTTCATAATTCAAATTTATTTTCAGATACTGAAAAGTAAACTAGCACTGGCATTTAAAAGGGATCAAAACAAGTGTTTTGAATTATACATTGCATTTGAATATCTCTTTTATGTCTTGATTTTGAAATTGTAGTGTCTAAATCTGCTTTTCTCAACCGAAGAATCTGAATGAATATTTGAGAGATTTTCCACTTTCACAGTTTTCCTTATTTTTAAATTCAACGGAAGTCTTAATCGTTATATTTTCTTTAGAAAATATACGTTTAAGTCAGAATAGTGAATTTTAAAAAAATGCATTAACGTTGCCTTCAGAAATAAAACATTTTACATTTCCAAGACAGGAGTATTATTATGTTTAACCATCGTATTTTCATAAAGATTTAAAATGCTAACTATTCTCTCATAACAAAAATAAAATAGTGTATTATCAAATTTTGCTAGTTACAAACTCATTGTAACATGGATTTTAGGAACATATTTGGGAAGAAATTTTGCAGTTTTAGTCTCTATCTAGGCAGTTTAGTTACTCTCTCTATCTTATGACAGGCCAGAAATTATTTTTTACTTACTTTGATATCCTTTCACACTGTGAGAGAATATCACTTTGGTATCCTGTCACACTGTGAGGGAATGTCACTTTTATTGTCCCCCGCTTTCGCGAAAGCGAGGGGACATTAAATCTCATTCGTCTGTCTGTCAGTCTGTCCGTCTGTAACAAAAACTTTAACCTTGGTTATAAATTTTGAATGAGAAGAGATAGGGTTTTCATATTTCACATGTACATGTACATTACCTGTGACAAGACCTTTCTAAATATACTGATGATTTTTGACCCCGTGACCTTGACCTTAAAGTTTGACCTACTTTTCAAAAATGTTAACATTACTTAAATTGGTCATAACTTTTGAATGAGAAAGGATTAGGCTTTCATACTACAGATGTGTATTACCTGTGACAAGATCTTTTTAAATGTACTATGACTTTTGACCCCGTGACCTTGACCTTGAAGTTTTACCTACTTTTTAAAAATTTAATCTTTGCTTATAACTTTTGATTTAGAAGAGATAGAGCTTTAATATTTGATATGTACATTACCTGTGATGAGACCTTTCCAAATATGCTATGATTTTTTGACTCAGTGACCTTGACCTTGAAGTTTGGCCTACTTTTCAAAAATTTGAACATTACTTTAAATTGGTTATAAAATTTGAATGAAATAAGGTTGGGCTTTCATATTACACTAGTACATTACCTGTGACAGAAATTTATATATGTACTATGGTTTTTGACCTTGTGACCTTAACCTTGAAGTTTTACCTACTTTTCAAAAAAATTAATCTTTGCTTATAACTTTTGATTAAGAAGAGATAAGGCTTTCATATTTGACATGTACGTTACCTGTGACAAGACCTTTCTAAATATACTATTATTTTTTACTCCTTGACCTTGAAGTTTGACCAAGACAGTTACAATATGCTATTATAAATAATGGCATCCCATCCATACAAACTCTATGGGGAATATAATGGGAACATTGTATTGTTTTGTTACTTGTTCCCAAATATACATAAACCTGTAACTGTTCTTCCAACAAAAAAGATGATCTCTGGAAAATTTTCAACATTTACTTTCAATGTATATATGTGTAACAATAAATATGTATATATACACGTCACTATAATAAAATATTTACTTACTTACTGTAACACAAGTATCTGCCATACTTGTATGGTCTTGTTTCTTAGAACTGATCTGCATCAATCATTGACAATAGATATTCCTATTGTATTCTTTCTAAGAAAGTACATGAAAGCATGTCAGAAAGCACATTCTAGAATATAAATAGAGACTAACATTATATTTTAAAAACACGGAGGTTTGCAGAACAGGCACTTGTTTCTGTAATGAATTTTTTCTTCAGTCTAGTTTTTTTAACCTATATAGTATTAATATTGAAAATTTATTACAGAAAAAAGTGCTTTTGGTTTCAGTTGAGTTGTTGACTTAAGTGATGTCACTAGTACTGTCTTGTGTAGCTATGTTTGACACTTTTAGATTATCCTCTGTGTAATCTGATATTATGAAACTTGAAGTCAATATACAGGTCTCCTCTTCAAAATTTAGGTTGCGCAATGTATTTGTATAACGTAGACAAAAATGACTGTAAAGTCACGCCCTTCATCATAAAATTTAACCTTTCCACATCAAATTACAGAATCGTTCCTTAGCATATATATCCCTTACAGTAATTGGACATATTTTTTGGTAATTATAGATACAATTAAGGGATGTTGCACAAAATCTTAAAATTATAACGTGCCCCCCCTATACATGTAATTACATGACAAGTTTTAAGTCACATGTAATCATATATGTGAAATATATGCTAATATTTACAGTCCCCTATATATGTTAATCTAACTGAATATTTAAAACGTTACAAAAAAGTATAAAGTGTTGACAAATAAGTGAGTCCCTTTTAATCATTTTATTTCTATTAATTGCCAATGTATGCGCATAAAAAAGAAAATTAATGTCAAAGTACTACATTTACCTTCACAGAAATTAATATTGTAAATTAAATTCTAATGTCGAATAGATTTTTAGAAAAGGTTTCGTAAAGACTTCTTTATTCAAGAGATTTTTCTTTTCATGGCTATTCAGTTTATTATTCACATTAAGTGATGCGCAAGACAAACATAAAAAAATGGACGAGTCGATCTCACTTTAAAGAAAAGAAATGAATAAGATTTGTCCCGATTTAAAAATAAAGCATTGACTTTTCTGTTTCATTCTGGCGATCTTAAATGACACTTACTCTCTAAAATTGAATACTTTAAGAAATAAAGGACAGGAACACTAAACCAACAAGGGTGGGAGTTAATTTGAGGCCAAGTCAAATTATGGTCAACTGAAAGGTGACAAAAAAATCACGCACAACTATCCATTAAATCAACAATAAAGAATTCAAACTACCAGTTTTCTCGCAAAAGTAGAGTAAGATCTAATAGTAAAAGCTACAGATAGAAAGAGAGAGAAAAACAGCGGGGTACGGAGCTTTGACGGCTAATTAAGGACTTGTTGAATGTACTTACAAAATGACCTGAATGGTATAAAAAAGAATTCAATTAGCTGAAGAGGACAATAATATCATGATAATATTGTTTTATAAATGTATTTCTCTAATTATTACAGTTTTTTTTTTGCAAAAAACTGCAGATTACTTTAAAATACGATGTGGTACTGTTATATCGATACCTTTTTTTTCAGTCAGCATGAAACATAAATAGAGAAATCTACTTAAAGATGTCAAAATCTATAAGAACAATGAAATTCAAACTTTAATTAAGGAAACTACGTGCTAACTTAACAATCATGCAAACCATCCAGTGTTTTTGTTGTATTTATGCTCATTTTAAAACCCCTAAATTGTCAGATGTCAAAGGTCGAAATTCCAAGGAACCATGTATCACAAAGGTTTTCTTCGTCCTAAAACAGCGGGGATTTTTATTTGTCGTCTTTCACCTTTATGTCAATAGAAAAAAGACCTGATATTTTACCCTGTCTTGATGTAAACCGTAAAGAAACAGGTTCCGCACCGAAGCGTGTTTTTAAAAAGCATAGAGTTTTACTGCCAAGTTAATTTTTAGTTATTTAAGAAAATTACGTTTTACCAAACGATATATTGAGATCCTGCACGATTAAAAAACGGTGTATTTCATTTTGAACATTGACAATATTATAATTAAAAAAAAAAAAATACAGGAAGTAATTAAGAACATCTCAAGTTTTAAGAACTATTTTTATTAGCTTATAAAATACCTCTTTGACTTTATTTAACTGATGTACCCTCTAAAGGCAAATGATTTGTTGCATTATGAGATCAATAATAAAACTTGTATATGTACGATAAAATGTCTCACTCCTAAGAATTTTAAAATGTTTTGTTGTTTAACGTTCCTCACCATAATTTTTTACTCAAATGTTTTAAAACAATAGCCAATTTTCTGAAACTGACATCCAGAAATCAAGTAAGAAATTATGTTCGGTGATACCTGCTCTGAAAGATCAAAATTAGCAATAACTTTATTAAAAAAAATGTAAGAAAAGAGGAGGGATTCGCGCTGATGTGCTTTTCGTCCTGCTAATCCCAATGTAGAGACTTTCTTCTGTGACCATCCTGTTCTGTATTGAAACACCCACCCATGTGATCATGCATCAGTGCCTTTGCTTACTTGTAGATGGTCAAACAATTTCGAAATGCCGACCTTTGGGTTATTTAAACCGGTAATCCACCTCAGACCCCACACTTCCATACTGATTTGACCACAGTGAAAGATGCGTTCAATTCTGGTTTTTACAGCCCTTGTGGTAACGGCTATTTCCGTACCAATTAAGGTAAGCAAACTTTCTATTAAAAACATTTGGGGGGGGGGGGGATTGTGTTAGTAGTTAAATAATTTTACATTTGGCTATGCAAAAACATAAATAAAAAGATATTAGTGACTCCGCCTTAATGGTTTATTTCCCTTAAATACATGTACATGTATATGCATAGAATTATATACTTCCCTTTTTACTATTCTTATATTCTTAAAACAATATCTATTGAAGCCAAAAAAAAATAATGTGTATATACCTAATGATAATTGTTACTTTACAAAATAACGACAGTCGAGGTTATACAGTATTTCTCATCTTACAGAGAGGAGACTCTGAAGATGATTACCAACACTGGGTAGATGTATGGAAAGCCTCCGAATCAGGTGAGTACAGTCAAACAATTAGCCTTTTAAATACAGACTCAAAGCGAACAACACCCAGTACTGGGTAAGAAAATGTCATCTAAAAAAATATTTTCAGCATCATGCATATGTGATTAAGTAGTGTAGAAGGTTTGGAAAACCTGTTTACTTTGAATACACATAGTGGAAAATGCTGCTTTATTAGCTTCCCAAGGTTCAAACAGTACGCACAACTTAGTTTAAACTTCCACATTTTACATCTATTCAAAACATGTTCTACAACTTATGCTAATCTCTCTCTCCAATACTATGATGTTCATCTGTTTGTAAGACTCACTGGTGTCTTTTTATGCAATTTCTATAAATAGAAAAATGAACCCGTAGTTTTTGTTGTTGCTTTTTCTTAACAAAAATTTAATATTGAGCATTTTGAATCAAGCATCATACCCCTATATTAATGAAAAACTTTTGCAAAATTTTGCGTATTTGTGCCTGCAAGTTGTGTTTTATTAGTGTCCGTTCTTAAATAGCTCATTTATATATTCTGGAACCTGAAAAACGAAGTGTGTGCATATAGGATTATGTTTGCGTGGAGTGCTGTTTTTTTTTCTTAACGACTGTAAAATGTTTAAGAACAGTTGAGACAAAAATGCAAATAAAATTCAAACATGTCAATTCAACAAGTTTTTCAGATGAGTTTACATGCAAATTTTATTTGATTACATTTATTCCTTCATTAATATACATTGTAGTACAAAATATTAAAAGAAAACAGTGTTAGCAAAGTACAGTTGACGAAACCCAAGACTGCTTCTTACAGTTAATGCATTCAATAAGCAGTTTTGCAGATATTGCAGTTTATTTTGTTATCTATTTCGCGAAAAATTAATTTATCTCCTGTATTTCTTTATCTATTTATTTGACATATTTATTATATATTATTGCAATTTCTGTGTAAAAATCAGTATTTCAGAGTTCTGTTTTTTTAATTATTATTAGACGTAAAGGATGCTGGGAAGGATGAGGTAGCACAATACACCAAGCTGTTAATCCGGGACCTCAGTGAAGTGGTTAAGAACCTCGATGTACTCCTCAGTGGCAGTGAGTTAAAAAAAAGATTCTTATGTATTCTTTTTATCCCTATATGGTTGTAAGTAAATGTTACATTTTTATCACCAAGAAAGTCACAGTAATTTTAAATCTGCGACTCCGTTCCAATAATTTATACATGTATAACATCTTAGAGTAATAAGGCCATCTTTAAAATAATGTTTGTTTGCCCTCTCCCGACTCAGGGTAAAATTATTGGGTCGGTAGGTAGGTGGGAAAATCTTTTTTTTCCTGAAAATTTCAACATACATTTATTTGTTAATTTTTAAATTAATTTAATCAGTATTTTATTATGTAAAGTGTGTTTGTTGTATTTGTTGACGGAATAAGGAAAATTACAAGAAAAAAAATATCGTTAAAAAAGTTTTGAATCGGGCCATTTTTTAATCAGTCGGTCGGGGGAGGGTAACCAAACAATTTTTTAAAGATGGCCTAATAAATAAAATAAACTGTTGTCATTCTTGTTACAAAATAAGTATATGATACAAAAGAAAATTTGGTAGAATTTTCTTCTTTGTCACCCTTTAATGGACTACTTGTACACTTTGAATTAAAACCAATGCTGGTTAAAAAACAAGCATTATTTAAATTTATTTCAAGTTCTTATTTGCAAACTGCAACAAATTTAACTGTGTTCTGATTCTTTACCTTACTGTATCCTTTGTTATACCATTGATACAGTGTAATATTAAGGTAATTGTGAATGGTTCCCCTTTTTATTAGTCCCCTACCGGGGACTATAGGTTTCCTCTGAGTCTGTCCGTCTGTCTAGCTGTCCAGCTGTCTGTCCCTCTGTCTGTCAGTCTGTCCCACTTGGTTTCCGCACTTTTTTCTAAACGCTTAATTGCAGATATTGCGCTGATTTTTGGTATGTGAATGTATCTTGATGAGTTACAGATCAAGTTTGCATTTCGTTCCGCTTCAATGATTTTTGACGGAATTACGACCTTTTCAATTTTTCAGGGTTTTGCGCATTTTTTTCTAAACGCTTGCAGATATTGAGCTGCTTTTTAGTTTGTAACTTTACCTTGATGAGTTATAAATCAAGTTTTCATTTGGTTTCGCTTCATTGATTTTTGACGGAATTATGGCATTTTCAATTTTTAACGGGAACCAAATTACACTTGCCGATAGGGGACTAGTATTGCCAATGCAATACTCTCAGAATGCTTGTTCATTTTATCTTTATTTTCCTAGTCAGTACTCGTGTATTTTCGAATAGTAACATGAACATCGTAAGGACATTCATAAGGATACTTGAATATAGTTCGATTACTTTCCAGAGGGTACAAAAGAAGATGGCATGACAGCAATGACTCATATTGGTGGGATGCTGGAACTTCTTAAAATAGATGCAGCAGGTAGACTCCTTGTAGAAAAAAAATATTCATTAGTATATTTAGTAAATTATTACGGTTAAAAATATGTATGTTGTAAATTTTGTATTTACCTCCACTCTTTACGATATCTTATTTGAGTTCAAAACATATTTGTAGAAGAAAAATCTATTGAACCATTGCAACTTCCCCCGGACTCGGACAAGGGGTGTACAGCAGGTATGAAAAGTCACCTTAATCCTCTTTGTGAAATCAATAAGGTCTTATTATCTGTTAGGCTCAAACTGTGACTATCAAAGCCATTCAATATTTAACTTTTTTTGATTAGCAAAAATTGTTATTGTACGATTCCTGAACGGTTGATTATTTCAAAATGATAATTAGTTTGCTAATGGTTTGCGTAAACATTGGAATTTACAAGTATATTTCACCGAAGTTAGTTATACTAAAGGACACATATAATTAATATGATTAATACGGAAGCCCTAGAGGGACACTGATTTACTTGTTATTACTTTTTTGTTATAGCTTATTTGTTTTGACTTATTTGTTTTGCCTTTTTATTTCTGGTTATGACTAAGTGTAGTGTAGCCATGGAGAATGTGTATCCTGACTTACGTTTCTTTGAAAGTGATATCTTTAGTCCTAGTTTAACAATGATTTTTGATTAATTAATTGTAGTTTAATGTCCAGTACAGTTGTGATTGCTTAATTCTTATCTGTTATACCCTGAACTTAAATGTTATAACTCAATTGTTATTTGTTCATTCTTATTTGTTATTTCTTGTTACTTAATAGTTTTTTTTTTATTTCTTTTTTGCAACTTCCATTGTGGATACTGATGAACACATGAACATAACTACTTTTTTCTCTTGTCATTAAGATAAAATTGAGATAAAATTCAAAGGCAAAATACACCTTTCTTTTTTGAAACTACACGTAGCCTCCATCATGTACGCCACGTTTTGGGGTTAAATAAACGTGTGATAAAAAATGTAATATAACAAGAATTACAATTAAGTCATAAGAACTAAGTCAAAACACCTAAGAACTAAGTCAATGTCCCTCCAGGGCCTCCCTATATTAAGCTTTAGTTTTGTTCTAATTTTATTTTTGAAGAAACTCCCTTTCGCTTTGCTTGTAAATTTCATTAATTTTTTTCCTTGTTTACATTGAAAAGTTTTTTTTCATTCTTTAAAAAAAGAAGCAAAACATAAATATACTCTACATAATTAAATTCATACCTGCAGCTGATGTGGAGAAAGAAGACGGATGTGATGCAAAGTTTGGTTTAATTATGAAGTGCGTCAGGGACGGTGTAGTTTCTGTCATTAACAACTTGAAGAGTGATGCCGATGGTATATAGACAACGCTTTTTTCTGTTTGTTTTGTTCTTCAAATGCATTTCGAAAAGTTGATTTGTCATATCTTTCTTGTTTATTTATGCATTGTTTGTTTTGGGATTTCAAAGATGTTTATGCGTTCAGAAATTTGATATTCAAAACACCATTTTAAAGTGGTATCCAAAGTTAAAGTATTTAAATGAATTCATTATGCATAAAATGTATATATATAAAGCCAATACATGCAACGACTCGCTTATATATATATATATATATATATATATATATATATATATATATATATATATATATATATATATATATATATATATATATACAATATTTCATCATGGAAATTTCATATATTGATTATCCATTGAAAGCCCTAGAGAAGATCAAGTTCGCTAAGGCTGTAATTAACCAGATTGGTGCGGGGGCGGAGGGTATCTTCATGCTAGCGGGTGAGAACAGCTCAAACACGAACCAAAATTTTTGACTTCTCAATGATTGTGACTTTTTTCTATTTTTAGAATATTTTTCTAAAATTTTGGCATAACAATCATAAATATGACCAAAAACTTTAAAAAATATATAAAATATTACTTTTCGAATTGCAGAAGCATGCTATGGGGACAAAGATAAGGTATTTTCTAAAGCATTTCTTATAGATATAGAATTGAGTTGCCTCGATAACTCCATATAAAGTGATTATAATTTGTTTATTATAGTAGAAGGAAATATCACTTATCAGCTATATTTCCAAATCGAGTAATGCCTCTTTCTGTATTTGTTATAGAACCCCTATCAGCATTGGGTAGATACATGGACTGCTTCTGAAGAGGGTAAATAAATTCTTCCTTAGACTTCAGCTGATTCAAATTGGGAAAAATTTAAGTTGGGTCATATGATAACGATTTGTATTATCTTTTTTTTTTTTTTTACACTTTTGATTTTGTCAGTTTTATTATTTATAATCGCTAAGTTTATGGATCTCCACATGTGTTATGCAGATGTAAAGAATGCACCTGCTGAAGAAATTGAGCGGTACACTCAGCTTCTTTTGAAGGACCTAGGAGAAGTGGTGAAGACATTTGACGTACTTCTCAGCGGAGGTTAAGAAATTTAACGTTATATCTTTTTACGTAGTGAGATTCTGGTTTGTTGTATTACAAAAGTAAAAGGAAAGTAAAAGTGATCTTCTTTACATCATTTTTTTCATGTTTCTGGTTTGGTAAATCTAACATCTTTTTTATTCATTAGAGGGAACCAAGGAGGATGGGATTCGCGCCATACATCACATTGGTGGCATGATGCACCTTCTGCAATTGGACGCAGCTTCTGGTAAAACATGTTTCATAATCAGATTATTTCCGAGAAAAACTTTTTTTAAAAATTTTTCCTAGCGTAAATTAAGACAAAAATTGAAGCATCTCTACAAATATTTTGCTTCTCCTAGACATCCTTGTAGATTACATGTACTTGGACCACTAATTACACAGTTCAGGTAACTAATCAGCATGGCCAATTGCAAATAGCTAAATTTTTTTGTTTGATAAAACATTAAACACAGAAGAAAACTAGTTCAATTTGAAATAGAATAAAATTAAAAATTATTGTATTAAGCATTTTTAATCTTTTAAAGTCCAGCATTAATGGCATTCATCTGGTTTTGAAACAGTAAGGATAGCATCAGCACTAACAAGTGTATCAAAAATGAAAATATCAATTTATGCCAAACTTCTATAACTACATGTATAGTAGTCATGAATAAGTTTAATTGAGCATTGACTTCTTATTTTTGGATGTCTTTGCCTTAGAACTGTACCTGGCCGTGCGACAAATTGAATACCGCGCATTAGCGCGTTATGCTAATTTGTCGGCACAAATTGTTTTACCATCGACGACATCCAAAAATAAGAAGACAATGCTTATATTTAGATTCTCAAACTTCTCTTTTCATAAATGTTAATTCGTCTTTATTATAAATTTAGCTCTTCAGAACTAGTGTGGAAATAGACGTAAGAGCGGTTTTGACACGTGGACATTTAAATTAAAATAATGAATATTGTTAGGGGAAAACAAAAAATAAATTTCGTACGTAAAATTGTGATATATTTACAACAGTTTAATAGGATAATTGGGTTTTTTTTATTAAACTGAGCCAAAACGGTATACATTTTGTTGTTCCTAGTGTATTGAAAGCATAATCTGTTGTGTATTCTACCGCGTCGTGACAAGGTTTCGTGTGTGTTATAGGGTTACTATTGTAGTTTGACAATGAATTTCGGGAAGATAACTGAAAATAAATATTTTGATATAAACTTTTGATAAACACTAACATTAAATTAGCAAGATGTGGATTTATTTATATCAGCAAGCAAGGAATTAAATGATATCAGCATCAAATCGGTAATAAAATTAGTTCTATGCATTGTATGAAAATACTTTTAGAATATGAGAGAGAAATAACCATAACGGATTCTTTCAACTTTTTTTTAAAGAAAAATCTATTGATCCCATGGATCTCCCTGCGGATTCCGACAATGGATGTACTGCCGGTGAGTACTGCTTTTCTTCTTCTGTTGAGCAAATTTTTTGTGATTATAATTAATTTCACACGCTGAATTAACAACAGCACATATGCATCTGTAATAAAGTGTTTAAGACAAGAAGAACCGAAAGTCGACATTACGATTTCCAACATTTCTTTGCAGCTGACGTCGAGAAAGAAGATGGATGTGATGCCAAGTTTGGTTTGGTCTTGAGGTGCATCAGGGGAGGTGTAGTGGCCGTAATGGATGGTCTCAAAAGCGACAAAGATGGTGAACTTTAAACTTCGAAATAATCGAAATTCTGTTTAATTGTTCCGAAAAAAAAATATCGATAAATAAATATAAATGAGACATGGAATATCTTTGGTTGCTTTGACTGGGTATTATTTCTGTAAATTAATTAATTTAATACTGATTTAATTTACTGTAGCTGTGTATTTCAGATAGTATGAGACAAGACTAAAATTGAAACAATTTATTTCTTTCTGATTCCGACAGCTGTGACAAAGATTGGTTTCGCTAAAGCCATAATCAACAAAATTGGAGAAGGTGGTGAAGGCGTCTTCAAATTAGCCGGTAGGTGAAGTTAGACTTAGGTATTTAGATATGTGAGGAAGAACAAGTACCTGCATGCCATTCCACATTTCGAGATTTTACATTAATTTTAAGTTGACCTTAAGAAATTCATTTTTACCATGTAAATAAAATATTGACTATGAAAATGTTTATGAAAAATAAGTTCAAATTTTTTTTCCTCACTTTTTATCATTCATTTTGCAGAAGCATGTTACGGAAACAATGTAAGTACCGGTACTCAAGTACACAAGCAGATGCTCAAAATCACATCACTCACTCAAATTGATAAACTTTTACTACAGTTTTAAAATAAATATTCTACATTATTCTACCGAAAGATGGTGATTTTTTTTAAATTAATTTAAAAAAATCATGATCAATCAATAAAGGAATACTTTTACCCCCATCCCCCTCTTTTTGTAACTAAATACATAGTATATAATATAATTGGAAAATCATGAGTCAGTTAATTTAATTTACTTCATTTTATTCCAGAATAAATACGATCATTGGGTTGATACATGGAAAGCTACAGAGGAAGGTAACATATAAGAATTATTTTTTATTCAAGATATCAAGTTCTTGTGCTTTAACTTTTACAAACGTTTGTAAATGTACGTACGTCATTAAATTACAGACGTGGCCAAGGCTTCAGATGAAGAGGTAAAGAGATACACTGGACTCCTGTTACGTGACCTTCAGGATGTGGTGGATAATCTTAATGTGGTGCTTAGCGGAGGTGAGTACATGTGGTACCAGACTGAATCTGATAGAACAAAAACTCTTAAAAGATAAATTATAATAAAGATCGTTATATTAATTGGCAAAAAGCTTGTTTTTGTTTGTCACAAACTATTTTCGATTTGTTCTTTTTTGTCTATTTCTTTTTCATTTAGCCTGCCTGACATATGATTTGAGTCACTAAACTCTTAACTTTTTCATTTATACGAAATGATGATGTATTTAAACAAAAATAATTACGAAATAGAGAAATAGAGAGATAGGATCTAGAGGTGATTTGTTTTGGTTGCTGAACAAAATAAAATATGATTAAGTTCAACGTTAAAAGATGTAGTAACCTAAGAAATCTTTACATTTAATATTTTCAATGCTCTTTCCAAAAAAATTCATATAAAAAATTAATGAACTTTTCTTGTTTATATAGAAGGCTCCAAGGAGGCAGGCATCAGAGCCATGCAACACATAGCAGGAATGATGGAATTGTTGAGGATAGATGCTGAGGAAGGTAACTTGTAAGGTTGTAGCTTGATCTACCAGTGATCACAAGAATTAAAATAAAATTCTTTCAAAATAAAATTCTAAGCAGAACAAATTAGTATTTTCTAGAGTAGTATTTCATATATATATATATATATATATATATATATATATATATATATATATATATATATATATATATATATATATATATAGTAGCTTTTTTAATTTATGAAAATGTGCTTAAAGTACATACCTGCGACGTATGGTACCTTGACTGATTTTAATTTTTGACAGGAAAGCAGTCCATTCGTCCAATGGATCTCCCAGAGGGTTCAGACAAAGGCTGCACAGCCGGTAAGTATATTATACAAGATATCAAGATTTCCTCAGTGCAATGTGTTTTAGTTGTGTATCTTATTATATGAGGTACAACTTTAATTTTCTTTATAGCAAATATATTTAACAATAAACAATGCTAAAACATTCAGAAAGGGAACGTTTTATTAGACTTGCAAAAATGAAGTAATTAAATTAATTCATTTTGAAAAGAGTTAAAAGTTGTCGGATATCTCTGAGTGACGTTTTTGATATAATTTTAGCTGATGTGGAGAAACAGGACAGCTGTGATGCCAAGTTTGGAGTGATTTTAACCTGTGTGAAAGGAGGCGTTGTTGCGGTCATGAAAAACCTGAAGAGCGACTCAGACGGTATGGCTGATAATATACCCTTCTAAATAGAGTCCCATAGTCAGATGGTCTTCTTCCAAATATTAAAAATCAACTTGAAAAAAATTGGACCTCTTTATAGAGTAAATCCTTTCGTTTTGTCAATAAGCTAGATATTTTTCTTTTGTTGCCTTTTTTTTGTCACAAAATAATGTTGACTTATTGAAATCTTAAGGTATTCAATGTATAACGACCATATTTTGTACCTAATAAATGAATGGTCCAAAATGATTAATCATGGTAGCATTTTGAAGGTGTTATGAAATAAACATGCTCCACCAAAGGAATTTACAAAATTTTGATCATTGTCCAATTTATTGCACCTTAAATTTTACATTGACATCTATGGACAGCGCATATTTTATTAAGATATTGTAAAAAGTAACGTGAATTTCATACAAATCTCTTGGTAAAAATATGCATAAACTCTCTTTTTATTAAAATATGAAATAAATTGAATCATTTACCACAGATATTTTGACAAAATTAATTTTTCCTTCTTTTCGTCAGGGGCAGATTACTTTTCAAAAACTTTTCAGGTGCAAAATGATCAGCTTCTCATTTGTTATCAGTCATGTGAATTTGGTTCATTTCACTTTCATCGTTATCTAGCAATGTATTTTTAACTAGTTTAAAACGATTCAAAACTGCTCAAAATCCCTTCTTTATACATTGAATACCTTAAAAGCTTTCTTTTGTAACCCATCCACACATCAAACTCATACAGATAGAGGATCTTATTAGTCTCCTGTTTAGACAGGAAACAAGATTTCCAAAGTATCGTCTGTTAGTTAGGTATATCAAAATAGTTGGGTAAATATTGATGTCGATTTTCTACAATAATTTATGCAAATAGTAAAACATGAAAACATTTACATTCATTATGTGTTCAAACATTGACTATGTAAACTTGTTGTTCCGATTTATGATACTTTCTACATAATTCAACTATACCATTCTTGTTTTATATAAACAGTTGTAAAGAAGATCAGTTTCGCCAAAGCAGTGATAAACAGTATTGGCGCCAGAGCCAAAGATATCTTCTACCTGGCACGTAAGTATACGTATACACAAGATGAAGCTACACCCTTCAGTCAACTGAATTTTTACTGAAAGGTCTGGACTTCTCAAATAATTTCTAATTTCTTTCCGTCTACTTATTTTTTTCATTCGTCTCAAAATGTCATTTTTACAAGAAGTTGTCCTATAAGTACTGATATTTTAATTTTAAATGTAACTTTTCATTATAAACGAACTTTCTTTATCTAAAGTTTACTTCTTTTATTGTAGATCAATGCTATGGAGATACAAAAGAGGTAGATATGATTTTTGAAATTATTTTAACAGCTGATCAATTTCCTTTTGCTATAAATTATGATACTTAATTTAACAAAGTGTCTATATATATATATATATATATATATATATATATATATATATATATATATATATATATATATATATATATATATATATATATATATACTTTTTACTCACAGGCTGACAAATACCAGCACTGGGTTGATACTTGGATGTCCACAGAGGAAGGTATAAGGGTGGATCTGTAGGTCTATGGCCTTGTTCTGTTGTATCTGACTTGTCAACTTAAACCTCTTTAGAAAAACTTTTTTTTCCTACAATACCTCGAATTTATCATTTCAAACTTAAACCAGACTACATGTAGCCAATAATGAAATCGTTAATTTTTTTTAATTGATGTATTTCTACATATTTTTCCTAGAGTTAAATTCTCACAAAAAATGACAAATTGCTTATTTTGCAATTTGATGATGTTTTCACTACAGAGTGCAAAAAACGCAGTCTTCCATGGAAAATCGAATGCTAAAATGAAAGGGTTGGACATAGGAAACAAATGTTTAAAAATTCCCAATACAGTGTTAAAAACATGCAATTTTTTCCAAGTTCAATACAATTAGCAAAATTTAATAATCTCAGAATGACTGATATTCGAACTATCTTTATTTGAATTGTAGAAATTAAAAATGCACCTGCTGAAAAAGTGAAGCGATACACAAGCCTCCTGCTCAAAGATCTAAGAATGGTTGTTGGGAATATAGATAGTTTACTCAGTGGCAGTAAGTAGTGTTGTCCTTCAGTATATAGATAAAAACAGGTGTATCTGAAGTATTGATCGTAACCAAACTATTTTTCTGAAAAGAATAACCATTATGTATTAGTCACTGGAATACTTCTGACCTCTACAAAAAATGGCAAAAGGGAGTAACACATTTCTGATGGCAATACTTTTTAATTAATCTAAATAAAATGATGTTCTGTGTTAACTGATCATAATATCAGTACATCTTAGATAAGTAAGATTAAGCTGACAATAGGTAATTCTGTTACAATCACATCCAATTAATTCTTTTTACTTCTGATTAGGCTGATTTTTCACATTTATTTGATCAGAAGGAGGTGAGGCAGAGGGTCTGGAAGCAATGAAACATATAGGTGGAATGATGGAACTATTGCGCCTTCACTCTGAAGAAGGTACATTGCATCATACTATCCTTCAAATGAGTATCCTTGTACAATACTTGAAAAGATTTTAAATTCCTTCGTTTAATCATAAATCGGTCATATACATTGATCTTCTTCAATAATTACAATATTCCTGTTTTATTCGAAGAACTAATTTGTAAATAAGCAAAAAAGAACAAAGAACGGACGAAAACTTTGATTTACCGTTTGCGAAACAAACATTTTAGGAGAGGAGTCTATTCAACCTATGGAACTGCCTAAGGACTCTGACAAAGGATGTACTGCAGGTGAGGATCTGACCAGGTTGAGCTATCATAACTATATCGATCCATATCTCTTTGGTTAACAATGGGTATTTAAAAAGGAAAGCAACGTTTCTATTTCTGATGATGTCTTCTGTACTCAGAACAACATATTAAAACACATTTCATTCATACTCTTAATTGTTCACTATATCTATTACATTCATAGGCAAGAATATACCGGTACATATTTTTAAGGTGCACCAGTAATCTTAAGCATTTTTAAATCGAGAATATTGGGTATAAACCTAGTTCACAAGCAAATGTGTAAACGGTGATTTTATATTTTTAGCTGATGTTGAAGGAAAGGAAGGCTGTGATGCTAAGTTTGGTTTAATTCTTGGATGCGTTAAGAAAGGACTTGTGGCTGTGATAAACGTGCTAGAGAGCGACGAGGGCGGTAAGAGACTGCTTTAAACTTTGCCCTAATATCTCGTTCCTAAAGTCTTTTGATAGTGTTTGATAATAATTACTAACAGTACACACATGCAATGTCGTCTGTTTAAAAAGAAATGTTTGAGGCGTTAGTAAAATTGTTTTAAAATTGAATGCATAGAATGCATAACAATATGAATTGTAACATAGCAAAATGTTTAACTTCACAAACTGTATGTCAAACATCAGTAAAAGTTCTGAAAATTTGAATGTATAATGATTTTAATTGATATTTAATAAGCACTTTCTGTCTATTAATTATTAGGTAGTTTTTCTAGTCACACACAAACTCACACACGCACTGAATTTAACAATAAACTTGTTTTTTTTTTTCATCTTTATACATGTAGCTGTGGCGAAAGTAAAATTTGCCAAGGCAGTCATCCACAGCATTGGTGCTGAGGCAGAGGGTATTTTTCAGTTGGCAGGTAGGATATTCAAAAAATAAATGAATACATACTTTGTCAAGAAAGACGTTACCTTTATGCTTTCAAAACTATACGTGTATCAAGATCTACATTTTAATAGACTCGGATTATAACAATGAGATAATAAAATAATGTCTGAGCTAACTCTGAAATTTCAAATTGAAATCAGTATTTTGAATCTGATGCTGATGACCGCCAGTGTGACGTAATCTAAATGTCATAATTAAAGGTCAAATCACTAGGTAATGAAATACTGAAACTTGTATGGACTATTTAGTGATATGAATATCAGCCTGAGTATGTTAATGGTGGTAAACTTAAAGTCTGTCCTGACCTTAATTGACTCCATGTCTTATCCTATGGTTCAAGGTGACTACGTAATGAGTAAATTTTGATACAAATTTTGTTGCAACAACTCTGAATTGTCTACTAAAATATATAAAACCTCTCTCTTTGACTATTTCAATTTATATCTTTTCATGATATGATGTTCCCGGTATCAAGATCATAAAGGGATGGTTAGATAGGGAATATATATTTTTTAAATGTTTACTCATGGTAATTTTGTTTATTTTTTTTTCTGTAGAATACTGCTATGGTGGAAAAAAGGAAAAATTGGTGAGTATGTATGAAAATTAAAAAAAGACCTGTGAATTTTTCTCGGATTGATATTTAATACATTTACATAAAATAATTTGGTTATCTTGATAAATTCTACAGATTTTACCTACTTTGTTCATGTTTTTTTCTCTCTTCTTTTCCTCTAATTAATGAAAGATAACTTCTCTCTTCAGGAAAAAGGAGGAAAACCAGCTGAAAACAAGAAGATGCTAGACGAGAAGAAAACTAAAAGGGAAAAACTGGAACGCTTGTTGCTAGAATATCTGAACAGGAAGTAGACTGTACATTCTCCAGGGAAGGAGTAAACAGGAAGTGATTTAACAAACATACAACGGACCCAAGATTTGCCCAAAGACGTTCAATTATTTTTTTTATATTTTAATGTTTTATAAACTTTAAAGCATGCATGAATAAAAATTATCAACGCAATTTTTAGTCTTGTAATGAAAGATGTTTTTCCTAAACAATTTTTCTTTCTCAGACTTAACATCTTTTTCACTATCTGCCTTGCCAAAGTCTTATTTTCAAAACACACACACACACACACACTCACACCCTCACCCTCACACACACACACACACACACACACATAACACACACATATATATATATATATATATATATATATATATATATATATATATATAAAGCACATTTTACAACAACTCTTAAACTAACATAACTGCCCTAAGTGAAGAAATATTAATACAGAAAGCACAAAGAAATTTCTTTGTGCTTTCTATATATATATATATATATATATATATATATATATATATATATATATATATATATATTCTTCAGCATAAAAATGACTTGTTTAAACAATTATCTGGTATTTTTTTCATAAATTAACAAAAACCAAATAACTTTGTACATCTCTGATTTATGTACAACTTATCTGCAAAGTAAAAAAGTTTCCTATCTTTAAAAATCAATAAGTAGGCTTTATCTATACTAACGACGAAAGCTGTAAGTTTAAAAATCCTTCTTTACCAAGATACATTTAAGTTCTTGTAAATGTTCAATAAAACCCGAACTTTACGTCTTACCAAAATATTATCTACTGTGAAGGAGAATTTCAGAATACTTATTTTACTATAACGTATCGAATGAGTAATGTAAATCAACGAGCATTATCAAAATCTCCAAAGAAGTTTTTTTTCAAAAAAATTCAAATCACAAAGTGTTTCCAAAATAAAGAAAATGAAAATGTATACCTTTTTAACGCTTAAAAAACACAACTTCCCACGAAAATAAAATGAAATACATGTACTTATGGACACTATAAACAATTCTTTTTCAATAAAATTGGAAATCGAAATTTTTTACATCATGATAGCCCATCTAAAAATTTAGTTGGTAAAAAGTCACAAATACTCTAAAGTTGATAATAAAAAGATGTAGTTCCTTATTGACAATATCAATGTAGTCTTTGAAAATCAGTTCTTCATTCGATTTTTGGAATTTATATGGTCACTAATTTTACTCCTTTATAAGCTGACCTGTGTTTATATTCCTGTGAAGCAGAATTTATTCAAACTTCCACTGTAAGAGAAAAAGAGACTTTTGCTGTGGCCTTCAATTCTACATTTCCAATTTGTATCGACGATGTTTATTCAATTTTCAGTTATTTTCTTTCATGTGTTGACTCGATATCTCCCAGTGAACTCGAAATAAAAGTCACATCTGCTTCAACTTGGAAGTTTTACTGATTATAGAAGTTAATGACCAGTTATCAACTAAACTATTTTATCAACGGGATAACGTCAGGTTTTCTATTGTCCAACTCCCATTTCATTTAGTAATACTCCACTATTACCTGTATATGTTGTTTATGACCCCATCTGATTTGGTACTCAAGAGCATGCTTTGAGTACGATCAATTTTTATAATTAATCAGAGACAGGCTGAGATCGTTAGAAAAGCTTTGTTTACAATTACAACCTATCGTTGGGTCGTATTTGATTAATTTTTTATACCACTTTTAAACCAAACAAGGAATGCCTACTCCCCAAGACAATACTTCTAGTGTTTCTAATGATCCGTGTTATTGGCTTATTCATAAGTGTTATTTGCAGGATTTATAAGATTTATCGTTATATTAATTCGCTTTTTTACACTAGATAAAATACTAATAAGTAAAAAGAGAGCAGACATGTGCAAAATAATCTAGAAAATCGTAAATATTCATTTAAGACAGGGCTACAAGTACATGTACATGTCAGTAGTAAATGTGAAAAGCTTACAGATAGGCATCTAGACATTTTGTTTGTAAAACTCAGTTGAGCAAACCCCTGTTTATTTTTAAGCATCTGTTGCAACATTATTATCAAACATTAATGATTTTTGTTTGTATTTTGACCAAATACATTTATTTACTGAATATGTGCAATTAGAGATGCCTAATTAGTCATTATAAGTTACTGATTTTAATGCTATTGTATTTCACACTTTTAGTGATCATTTTCTTGAGTATAGATAAATATCTAACTTATACTGTGTAATTTATGGTTAGAAGACTGATGTTTTTTTAATTATTAAATCTGTCTACAGGGCAAAAATCCAATCAATGACTTCAAATTTTCGTCAACAATTATTTTTACAATTATGAATTTTATAACAAACAAGATGTGTTTATGAAACACTGTTGACCCTGTAAGACAGCTATATATGGCCAAGGTTAAAATTCTCAAATGTACGTCAAACTTCAACGTCAAAGTCAATAGATAAAAGATGTTCGTACCCAAGAAAAGGTCTTGTCACAAGAAATATACATGTGAAATATGAAAGCCCTTGCACCAACCATTTAAATGTTAAGGCCAAGGTTAAAGTTTTTCAATAGTCAGACAAACTCCAAGGTCAAAGGTCACCAAGGTATCCAAGGAAAGGGCTTGTCACAAGGAATACCTATCAAATATGGAAGCTTTAGCACCAACCATTCATAAGTTATGTCCAAAATTAATGTTTTTCAAAAGTAAGTCAAAATCCAATGTCAAAAGGTTATAAAGTTTTACACCAAAGAGATGGTATTGTCACAAAAAATACATATGGGAAATATACAGAATTTCAAAAGTTATGAACAAGTTTAGAGTCTGGTTTTTTTTTTTTTTCAAAAGTGGGTAAATTCCATGGTCAAGGCATAAAAATGCAGGAAAAATGTATATGATATGAAAATGAGTTTTAACAGAATTTTTGTCAAATCGTTATAATAATGATCGACTTTTTAGTTGAGAATACAATTCTTTTCTAGAGTTGGCACAGTGTGAATGAATTTCGGATTTTAAAAAATGGAAGCGCATATATACAGACATGCTTTATTTCAATTAAATACTGCATTAAAAGTAAACATAATCAATACAATTTGCATTGTACGTTTCAATTTAGGCACAGCACGTGCAGGTCTTCGCTCAAAAGAACAGAAAAATTGATAGGAATGTGCTTTAATACTGAATAAAATTAAGTTTACATAATCAATATTTTATATTGTATATATGGTTAACGCCAGTGTCTTTTATTCTTGAAACAAAAAATGAAGAAGAGCAAATTCAAAATATCAATACCTGAATATTAACGAAAACTTTCGCCTTCAAAATTTAACATGAAACACAATAGAGATCTAATAAACAAATACCAATGACTGTGTTAGTTTTCTGTCGTGAATAAAAACTTATTTACATAAAGTAATTAAATGTTACTTACACTCATGCTAAGCTGAGTTTACTTTGAACACTATTTACATGGAGATTCGCTTTTGCGTTACTCTGAAAACAAAAGGCTCTCTCTATTATTCTAGAAACAGGACAAGTTCTCACAGTCTAACTTCAGTAGTCAAACTTGTAAGAGATGATGGCGCAACAAAAAGCTATTGCTGTTTTATTTGGAGTTCTGGTAAATTGTGCACTGGTTTCAGGTACCATATTATTTTTATATTTTATTTTACTCCAGATACTCAGATTCTTGCGGAACGATATTAAAAGTATAATAGAATTACAAATAGCTTTCCTTACAATGTATATCTTACTTTTAACTCCCACAGACGGCTATAAGGCCGCCACAGGGACACCTTTCTCCAGTTCTTCTAACCTATGAGGAAAAAAATAATTTTTATGTTCAATGTGTTTTTATTTACTTTAAACTGTTTAAAAGCAAGATTCGAATGAATGTCATAAAGTTTATGCTGAATAATTTCCTAAATAATGCAAATTTATCCAAATCAGCTTAGGACAAATTAATCCAAGAGACATTTATGTAAAAGTTGTCATTTAATTATATGATGCTTCAATCAACTATCCGAAGCTGTTTTTGTATTTCACTCACATCACTCATAATCAAAGACAAATTATGACGATACCAGACCGTCCTGAAACTTACATACATGTTTCACATCTGTTTCATATTTGGATATTTTACAAGAAAAAGACATTAATGGCAAACTAACGACAAAAATTTATGACAAAGTGATTTCAACTTTTCTATCGTCAACTTCCCTTATTTATTTAGCAATACTCAATTATAACCTGCACTTGAGTTGAGGTCCCCAGTTAATTCGATACGCAAGAGCATGTTATTGACAAATAAGTTGATGAAACAAGTATATGTATATCAACAGTCTCGTTTATATTCAACATTTTTTTTCCAATTCAGTAGTCGATACAATGACCTTGTCAGCGAAAACAATCTGTCGTTAAATCGAATGTTGACTAACATTTTCATATAAATGGTTAGGCCATTTTTTTCACGCTGAAATGTCTTCTTACTTTCCACTTACCTAATCATAAGGTGGACGTGACCTGTTGACAGGGGATGCTTACTCCTCCATGGCACCTGGTCCCACTTCTGAAATTTTTATGAGATTGTGTTTGCTCTGCTCCCAACTTTTATTGTTCCAATGGACTTCTGAGCTTGATTACTGTTTGATATCGTTATCTTCATAATTCATTTTAAAAATGTTTCACATTGTCTTCAATTTTTACAATCGTCATAAGTATATACCAGCCAGACAGCAAAATCTCTTTCATAAAATTGACCCATGCAAATTGTCACCCAAAACGTAGGTGCGATTCACAATTCACATAGATAAGAACTGTTTTGCGACGTTTTGTTAGACCTACTTGTTCTCTGACGCCTTGAAAGCGAAGAAGCTAAAACACGAGCAACAGTACTGTTAAGTGTTGCATGACCATATATGACTACTTGTAATTCCTGTGTTTAACGGATTTTATAGTAAAATTTTATATCATCGTATAAAAATATAAATTAATATAATTATTAATCGTAGCTGTATAATTCCATATATATAAGAAAATTTATTCAGGTACATGCACCAATACATGTAAAATGTGACAGTTGCTTTTGGGCAAGACCCCCATCTTTACCACCACCCCTATGTATATATACAACTAGGCCTCGGGGCCTGTTTTATTTGTGTGATTCATAAATTATTCCAATTAACACATGTTGAATCAACAACAGAAAAGTCGTTTTCTTTTGATAATATACTTAACAAATAGGTTTTTACTACGTCATGAATGAAATGACGGCATCAGCCGCCAAATCGCACTGTGAATCTCTTGGATTGAGGCTGGCTGTTTTTGAGACTCAAGCTGAATGGGAAGAGGCCAGGGCTTTTCTTAATACCCACAATTCAAATTGGGGGTAAGATGTGAACGTTTATTATACTAGTATTTAAAACATGATAATTTTGTCTGCACGCCGCACTAGATTGATTGATTGTTTTACGTCCCATTTCGAGAATTTTTCACTCATATAGAGACGTCACCATATACCGGTGAAGGGCATCAAATGTTGACCTTTACTCGGCACTCAGGACCATTGAGCAGTGAGGGATCTTTATCGTGCCAACGCCTGCCGTGACAAGGGGTTTCGGTTTTTAAGGTCTCATCCAAAAGACCCGCAACTTCCACTTCAAAATGCCGAGCGCATGGCGAAGGAACAGTTGCTACCCATTTTTTATCGACTTAGGTCAGTCGCGGCTGAGATTCGAACTCACGACCCTCCGTAATCAAAGATTACGAAGCTCACCTCGACGAAAGTTATCTATTAGTAAGGCAAATTTCACATTATTTTTTTTTTCTCTAGTGAGGGTACATTCCAGATCAATTTCCATGCAATTTTGGTTTAAGTAGGACTTATAGTTACTTGGAAATAGACCTAGGCCTGCTCGAAAAACTTTTAACCTGTTTACTAATCAAGAAAATTTTGGCCAGTTCCAACATCCAAAGCAAGTCTGGAAGTTTTATCCTTAGATGCACCATCTATCCAAGTTTAATCATTACAGGTCATAATATCATATAGATACTCCAAAAAAATTACCCTGGTCACTCATCTGGATAATGTAGGTGAGATTCAGAATCGAAAGCAAGTCTGGAAGTGTCCATCCCTAGATACATCATGCATATCATGCTAATTTGGTTAAAATATGGCTAAAATTCACTCATGTGAAAAATCTAGGTCAGATCCAGCATCTGAAGCAGGTTGGTTAGTGTTCATTCCTAGATGCATCATCCACGAAAGTATGGTCCAGGTAGGGCTTACATTTACTTGGAAATGGGACTGCTCCAAAATCTAAACCTGGTCTCACATGTGAAAAATCTAGCTCAGATCCAGCATCCAAAGCAAGTGTATAGTGTCCATCCCTGGATGCATCATCCATGCAAGTTTGGTCCAGGTAGGGCTTACAGTTACTTGGGAATGGACCTGCTCCAAAAACTTTAACCTGGTCACTCAACTGGAAAACCTAGGTCAGATCCGGCATCCGAAGAAAGTGTGGTCGTTTCCATCCCTAAATGCATCATTCATGCAAGTTTGGTCCAGGTAGGGCTTATAGTTACCTGGGAAGGGACCTGCTTCAAAAATTTTAACTTGGTCACTTATCTGGAAAATCTAGGTCGGATCCAGCATCCGAATCAAGTTTGGTAGTGTCCATCCCTAGATGCATCATCCATGCAAGTGTGGTCCAGGTAGGGTTTAAAGTTACTTGGGAATGGACCTGCTCCAAAAACTTTAACCTGGTCACTCATCTGGAAAATCTAGGTCAGATCCAGCATCCGAAGCAAGCGTGTTAGTGTCCATCCCTAGATGCATCATCCATGCAAGTGTGGTCCAGGTAGTGCTTATAGTTACCTGGGAATGGACTTGCTCCAAAAACTTTAACCGGGACGCCGACACCGACGCCGGGGGTATAGCATAAGCTCATCTCGACTTCGTCGAGGTGAGCTAAAAAAGTGTGTGGGTGTTGGAAGGGGGCTGTCAATTAAAATTCCATACTATATTAATTCTCTCTGCGATTTCCAGATTCCCCTTCTTCCCGATACTACATGTATATGCCTGATAAAGATCTCTCCATATAAATCTGATCATTCGTAGCTTTGTACACGAAGAAAAAATTTAACTGATTAGAAATAATTCATTTTTTTCAAACATCACTTTATTTTCAAGATATATTTTGTTTAGTCTCCTTGGCAAAGCCTTGCAGAATAAACACTGATAATAAGGCAAAGTTTTCTGAATGTTATTCATTAGAAAGAACAAGAATGTGTGGATTGGGCTACAGAGAGATGTTGCACAATCAGGACTGGTGTACAAGTGGATCGACGGATCGACGCTAACTTGGGGTTCATTTTACAATATTCCCTGGAAGGACGGTAGTACACCTGCGGATGATCCGACTAAAGCATGCGTAAGAATGGAATGGGGTGCGAACCTCCAGTGGAAACATCACGATTGTGCCGCCACAGAGGACTTCTTGTGCGAGGGTTAGATAAAAGTATTAAATATCTTTACAATGCTTAAACAAACGATAGACCATTTATATAATTTGCTCCGAGAGAGAGTCATTTATCAATATCGTATAAATAACATGAAAAGGTGCAAAATCTTTCCTAAATAATTTAGAAAAACATAGTAAAGGGGTTTAATGCAGGACTATGAAATAAATCTACCAAATAATGTATTATACACTAAAAAAAAAATGCTTATCACTCAGTACTATGTTTGAAATCTGTAATCAACACATTAAGTACATTTGTGTAAAATAAATAATTCTGTCCAATGTATATACGTAGCTGAATTTTGCGGATGTTTTGGAGTCAAACCAATTTCTCGAAGCAGTTTGTGCACCATTAGTGTACCGGTATGAAGTTGGTTATTACCGTGGTGGTCACGGAGGTTGCAAGAGTGATGGTGGCTGTCTTTAAAATGATGTAGAGCGATATGTTTATCAGATCGCCTAGAAGTCGTCCAGTGCTGTGACATCCGTTCCCGGTTCACCTCAATTCCGGTTGCCACAAATTTGTGATTCTATTTTGCAATAATCGTGTAGAATTTACGCCTATTAAATGTCGTGGCGACCTACAGAAAATAATTTATGTTTGTTAATCTAATGGCAACATTTTAAGTAGGATCCCCTCCCCCCAAAAATCATTGTTTTCAGATTTTACAAACTTATCCATAGAAACACCCTTCAGACACCATACTGATGGCCCTGCCAAACGCAGCATGCGGTGTCAGTCAGTTTTTTTCTGTTTTTTTTTTTTATGAATTCAAAGAACACATACACAAAGAAGAAAATAGAAATGCATTTCTCCAAAATGTGCTAGCACAATTTTCATGCTTCAGTAAATATTGTAAAGATATATTCCCTTCTAAGTTTGGGTATTTAAGGACAGATAATACAAACAATCTCTTTTTTACAAAAACCATGAAAATAACACTTAAAACCATAGATTTTATTTCCATTCAAAGTTTCACAATAATGTCATATGAAGTGATAAATACATGTATATGAGTATGATATTTTGCTGTAGTTTTAATATGTAAGTTTTCATTTAGATGCTCCCCGCCCCGAACTTTTTTTCTGCTATAAGATCGATAACTCAGTCTAGCAAATTCTAGCATATCAAAAAAAATGTTTCTAAAAGTTAGAGACCCCCCCGGAAGTAGGTTTTTGGGGTTTGGCAAGTTTATGGTTTTTTTTTTTTTTTTTTTGCTAGTCAAGTTTTTTTTTGGGGGGGGGGGGAGTTGTCCCCTCCCCCTACGTGCTAAAGACCTGGTGCGATGCAATTTAGTCTAGTGTAATATGTATTCTGCATCCATGTAAGCTAACTTAGAACGTCAGGGGTCCTGACTTCACTCGTGGCCGTGGAACCATGAGTGTGCTTAAGAATCCAGACGTTGTAAAACTTAACACACATTTCTATCATCATTATCATAATTAACATGGTATTTTTCACTATGAGTGATGACCACTCCTACCTATTGAAAACAAATAACATATCATATTTTCAGTGAATGCCAGTATAATATAATTTGAAGGATTAATGGTTAACAGGATGGTTAGTAAATGATATCATTGTATCACATTGACGGAGGCAAGTCGTCCAGACGTTGTAAAACTTAACACACATTTCTATCATCATTATCATAATTAACATGGTATTTTACACTATGAGTGATCACCACTCCTACCTATTGAAAACAAATAACATATCATATTTTCAGTGAATGCCAGTATAATATAATTTGAAGGATTAATGGTTAACAGGATGGTTAGTAAATGATATCATTGTATCACATTGACGGAGGCAAGTCGTCATCCATTTATGCCATTAAATTAATAGTGGATTTTATATCAATGGGTATTGCAAGTATTTTTGAATGCCATCTCTTCTTACATACATGTGTATATTCATTCTGAAGTTTAACAAGAGGCCCAAAGGCCTTGAATCGCTCTTCTGATAAATTCTACAACCTATACTTTCATAACCCAAGATGCATCAACTGATAAAGTTTGAAGATTCGAAGCCCCTTATTATCTTAAATATTCAGGTATAGCCATGACCTACTTTTAATAAACATACCCCGAGAACCAAATGCACCAACTGACAAAGTTTGATGATACTTAGCCTTTTATTATCTGAAATATTCATATATTGCCTTGAAATTCCAAAAGTAGGTCACTGTGACATACTTTTAGGTTGACACATTTTGAGGACCCAAAATACATCAATTTGACAAAGTTTGATGATTTTAAGCCACATAGTGTCTGAAATGTTTAAATATAGACATGAAATTCCAAAAGTAGGTCACGGTGACCTACTTTTTCAGTTGACACACTCCAAGGACTCAAAAAACATCAACTAACAAAGTCTGATGATTCTAAGCCAATTAGTATGTGAAATATTTAAAAATAGCCATAAAATTTCAAAAGTAGGTCACTGTGAGGACCGAAGATGCGCCAGCTGACAAAGTTTGATGATTCTATGCCAGTAAGTATCGGAAATATTAAAATATAGCAATAAAATTCCAAAAAAGGTCACTACGTTGAAATACTTTAAGGCCTAAGTATGCATCAATTGACAATTTTAAGGTTTGATGATCAATTTGAAAATGAATGCCTACAAAATAAAAAAAAAAATAGGTCAAGAATTGGAAAGGGGTTCTTGAGATATGGCCCATATTCTAAAAACTTTACGCACACATGCAGCACAAATGGTCATAGCATTCAGCTCTTTGAGCCTTTGGCTCAGAAGAGCTAAAAATCGAATTTTTCAAAAGCCTTTCTCTCTCTTTAAAAATTGGCTGTTCATTGTGTATATAAATTATTGTATATTTAAGGTTTTTTAATGAATCCTTCTATCACGTCTGGTTGGTACGATGCCAAAGCCGCTTGTGAAGGTATGGGAATGAAGCTCGCCTCTCTGAAAATTGACGAAATCCATCAGGCAGCCGGAAAATACGTGGCAATCACATTTCAAAATGCAGGGTATGTTACCTATATTGGTTACTTAATTACTTGATAAATGCATTATTGGGAAAGAAAAAGCATTTTTAAACCTAAATATTCTTCTTTGGACAGAATAATTAGCATGGAACGACACCCAAAAGAGGTTATTGCCTTTTGTATTTCAATTTTTTTTCTATTTTAAAAACTTTCTATCATAATATAATTTTATATTCATTATTCTTTAAATCATGATAATGGGATAATGATGAAACTCAAAGGAAAAAGCATTTTTAAAACCTAAATATTCTTCTTTGGACAGATTAATTAGCATGGGCGACACCCAGAAGAGGTTATTGCCTTTTTGTATTTCAAATTTTTTTTTCTATTTTAAAAACTTTCTATCATAATATAATTTTATATTCATTATTCTTTAAAACATGATAATGGGATAATGATGAAACTCAAAAGAAACTAATAAAGTATTTAAGTTAAAATAAAACACCTCAATTCTGTTAATGCTCGTCTCTCTGTTTGTTGTTTTTACAGAGTGAACTCGCTCGTTTGAGGCAATTAAAGGGGCTTGGACAGAGATTCGAAGTTAATATTTTCTAAATTTTTTAGTATAATATCATGACTTATATGCTGCTAAAGAATTTCACACCGATATATTATAAAATCGTGTTTAGAAACTTCCTTTATCTAGAAATGATTTAAACTACGAATTTCGGGAAGCGATTGATTGATGCACACCCTTGCACTTTCACGAAGTAAACTTTATCCTTAATATTTAAGAAAAATGAAATTTACTCTGTATCAGTGAAAAAAAAAACTATAATACAGCAAAATCAGAGTAGAAATATGTGAAAAATAAAACCAACTCACAATTTCTGTACGTCCGTGTTCAGTATATGTGCAGAGTAACAAATTGAACACACCCGGTAAAACATGTAAATATCAACAATAACAGAGCTCGTGCCCATGTTTACAAGCACAGATTTTGACCTGATGTTATGAAGAATGTCGTTATCATTGAATTTTAAGAATTTTCATGCAAGTTTAGATCATTAACCTAAAGTTTGGTTGTTTTTTTTTAAATAAAAATAAAAATTTAAAATTGTAAACAAAACGGCAATGCAACTGTGTCCAGACCCCTTTAAGGACCCCTCTATATACTTCTGATATTCTGATTTTATTACGGTTAGAGTGATCTGTCCTTAGATCTAACTAGATAAATTGAAATATACTTTGTAATTATTATATTTTCCGCTTGAAAAATAAGGGAAGGGGGTATATACATGTAGCGAAAGGGGGGGGGGGGGTTCCGTACGTACGTCTGTTACACTTGTGGTAGCTTCCCTTATCTGCAACTCTTCCTATACTCTAAATATGATTTAATGAAACGTTGACAGAATCTTTATTACATAATTATTGACATTGTGCACCTTCTATTTAACGTTTAATCTGCACAGATATAAGGTTTTCCACAGCAAAACATGGACACTCATGACTGCCATTTTTCCATAATAGTGGGGGTACCCATCTCGTATCCGCAATTCATACTATACCATTGAATAAAATTTAATGAGACTTTTAAATAAATATTTTTAAAATTATTTTTATAACCAAGTGCCACCGTGACCTCCTACTAAATTACGTTTCAACCAGACGGATATTTGGAGTTTTCCGTAGCAAAACATGGATGCTGCCATTCTTTCTATAATATTTCCATACGTCCGTCCATTACTCTTTGGGGGAGCCATCCCTTATCCGCAACTCCTCCTATACCACTGAATAACTTCCATGAGACTTTCACAGAATCTTTAATTTATTACACACTGTCACTGTGCACCTCCTAAGTTATAAACGATTCACTTACATAGACATTTGAGGTTTTCCATAGCAAAATATGGACACGGCCATTCTTTCTGTAATATTGAGGGTACCCATCTCTTATCCACAACTCCTTCTATACCACTGAAAAAAATTGAATGAAACTATCTCATAATCTTTATTACTTAGTGCCATTGTTCACCTCACATTTTACGTTCTGGTTGGACTGGTATTTGGAGTTTCCTATAACAAAAATGGACTTTACCATTATACTAATATGGGAGATGGAGATATCATTTTGTGAGCTCATCGCTCTCATTACATGTACATCTATTGTTTAACCTAAAGTTTTGGAATGTTTTGTTTTATAAGGTCTTCTGGTGATGTCTGGCATGGTCTGTATAAGACTACCAGTAGTTCGTTTACGTTTGAGGATGGAACGGCTTGTACATCCGGATCGTTTGGATGTACCGGTCATACGTATCCTTGGCGATCATCAGAACCTGATTCTTCTGCAGAGTGTATTCGCTTAAAATATGTTAGCTTTGGGCAGTATGAGTGGGCGGACAATGGATGTAGCAACCGATGGAAGTATTTATGTCAGGGTGAGTATTGTTAATTACCAATTCATCAAGGATGATTAGTCTTAGTGCAAAATACTTTAATTATCATTTACAGGACGTACAGCTAAACTCGGCTGTCTGCACCTTGAGTCGTCTGATAATGACTCCTCCTTTTCTTTTCTTTTTTTTTTTAATTTATATTGGAAACAAGAGGAATTACATAATATTTATGTAACACTTAAACTTGTAGATTTGATAGTAAATGTTATAGATTAGAAATAATCTCTAACTATATACAATATGTATCGCACACATGAATGATGGTGTAAAAGGACAATGAGCTTAATTAACTGGTGATTAAGCTGACCAATACACCGTAGTATACCCCCTCCCTATACACACACACACCCTCACACACACACACATATCTTCAAATACATGTAAATATTTAAATAAAACCAAGTTTTACAAAAAATAAATTTCCCTAAATTTGCTTGACTTTTCAATGAATAATATATATGATGGATTACTTTAATGTATTACTTCTTACATCTAATTTATTGGAAGACAAAAATGTAGATATCAAAACTATATCCAATAAAATGATAGAAGAGTAGAATGAATTCGAGTAAATCTTACATGTAAGTCAGACGCACTGATTGATAGTTCATGTACGTAAAAGTAATTGAATACCGGAAGGCAGATCAACCCTCCTTCTTCTTTTTTAAATTCGTTTTGTTAACTTTTATATACTCTCGGTTTAGTCCACAGGTAACATTACAGAAATGAATAATTTATTTTACAAAATACAATTACGCGCCTTCACACTAAAAATGAAATTCTTATGTACTGTAATAGAAAAATATCCAAAAAAAGAATCGACCCCCTTCCTCCGGAAATACGGATTCCCTAGTTAGAAATATATGAATTATGTGTATATGAAGCGGCCTCTCATGATACGTGCCCCCACCCCCGAATCATGATAAGTTTTTAATTATTATTTTTGCGTGAAAAAATCTCTCTTGATTCCCCTTTTTAAATTTCTGGATCCCCCACTAATACTATCATTTAATCCTGATTAGAACATTTCTATTTCAGCCCAGTTTACACCGATCACCACCACAACAACTACCACGACGACAACGACCACAACAACCACGACAATACCACCAACCACCACAACAACACTCCCAGAGACAACTACCAAACCGTGGTGGTTCGTGGAATACAGCGCAGACGGAAAAGCAATCGGCGCGAATGGAAAGGTAACAAGTTAAACTAATGAATACATTTGTAGAAACGAAATGTGAAAGCAGATGATCAGTTTAATTATAGAACTCAACAAAATTATTAAACAGCAAAGCTGGGAGTACACAATATTTTAGCAGAATTGTTAACCGTCATTAAAACCATCCCTTGTAATATATACAATGTATATCTTAATTTGAAAGGAAAGGTAAGAGCATTTAAATCACCCTCTATAATTTCAACAGAATGGGTGAATTCCATGTCATAAACTGAGAATAATTAAATATAGGAAAAATGATAAAACGTGAAGAAAGATAAATATCGTGTACTACAACAATAATGGAAATCTTCAAGCTAAGAATTGCTAAATGATAATTAATTACTTTAAAAAAACATTTTGTTTAACTTATTCTTTTCAGACATTTGACGAGTCCAAACCACCGGCTAGATTCGGCATTATTGGTCTCGCCATAGGGTTTTCCACATTCATTGTTTTAATGACCATAGTTTGCTGTTTGTGGTTTTGTTGTATGAGGAATAGAGACGATTATCGATTTGTGGAGGAGGAAGAGGAGGAGAAACCTAAAGCAATAGCACCTCTCAATCAGAAACCACACGGGATCAAGTATATTGCCTAAAATTGTCAAAACATGATTACCCTCCACCATCTCGCAAGAAATACATGTACTTAAATAACAGGCTGTGGCCCTACTTTGTGTCTTACTAATGTTGAAAATGATCATCATTACATACTTTCTTTCTGGGACCAAGAATGTGACATACAATAGAATTCTTAAATACTCTGAAAATGCTGGAACATTCTGGTGAACTCTCCTCTTAAAGAATATTGGAATACAGTGAATTGCGTTTACTCTAAAGTCTACCCCAAGATTGAAACTTAAGCTGTATGGTCTGTAATTGTTCAGTATTTCTGACCATTGGATAAACAAGAGGCCCATGGGCCACATTGCTCACCTGAGCGCATTGACTAGGAACATAACAATATAACAAATGGCTTTGCTGTTCTTGAGCAGAAATTCTTTTTCCTATATATTCATCTCTAAAAATTTGATCCCCCTTGGTGGCCCCACCCTACCCCTACGGGCCCCCATTTGAATAAAAAAATGAATCTACACTACCTTAGGATGCCTCCATCTCAATATGACTAATCCTGGCTTCTGTTCTTGAGAAGAAGATTTTTTAAAGTTATTTCCTATATATTCCTATGAAAAACTGTGATCACCATTGTGGCCCCAACCTACCCCCAAGGATCATGACTTGAACAAACTTGAAAGTATACTACCTGAGGATGCTTCCATTAAAATATGACCAATCATGGGTTTGCTGTTCTTGAGAAGAAGAGTTATAAAGAATTTTCCTATGTTAAACTTTGATCATCCGTGGTGGCCCCACCTTACCCCCGGGGTCATTATTTGAACAAACTTGAAGCTACACTACCTGAGGATGCTTCCACATAAATATGACCAATCATGGCTTAGCTGTTCTTAAGAAGGAGATTTTAAAGATATTTTCCTATATTTTTCTATGCAAGACTTCGATCCCCCATTGTGGCCCACCCTACCCGGGGTCATTATTTGAACAAACTTGAGTTTACACTACCTGAGGATACCTCCTGATAGAGAATAACCAATCATGGCTTTGCTATTCTTGAGAAGATTTTTTAAAGATATTTTCCTATATATTTCTATGTAAAAACTTGATCCCCCATTATGGCCCCACCCTACCCCCAGGGGTCATGATTTAACCAAGCTTAAGTCTACACTTCCTGAGGATGTTTCCACATATTAAGTTTCATATTTCCTGGCCCAGTGGTTCTTGAAAAGATTTTTAAAAGATGTCATTAATTTTTCACTCAATCCTAATTATCTCCCCTTGAAAGAGGGCATGGCCCTTTATTTAAACAAACATGAATCCCCTTCACCCAAGGATACTTTGTGGCAAGTTTGGTTGAAACTGGCCCAGTGGTTCTTAAGAAGAAGTCGAAAATGTGAAAAGTTTACAGAAAGACAGACAGACGGACAGGCAGACAGCTAAACAGACGGACGCCGGACAAGATGTGAACAGAAAAGCTCACTTGAGCCTTCTGCTCAGGTGAGCTAAAAATTCTGTGCGATACACATAACGTCACAATGCCTAATATCAATGATAGCATAAAAATGCATATCAAACAGGAAAAAATTAAAAAGTTAATATTAAACAAATTTATTTTATTGAAATAATATTATGGTGAAAAATTATGTAGGTCCCTTTTATCAACATTATACATAGGAAATGCACTAAGAATTGTAAAAACACTAATTTGACAAAATCTAAAAAAGAATGCTGGATTGGTAGGTAAAACGATCCAGAATATAGCCTATTTAGTACATTTAAACCTACTCGAAAGTTCTTGAAAAATTCTATACAATAACCAGGAACCTTGCCAATGTCCTTAATGGAAATGCTTGCTGATTTTTGTTCCGGTCAATGACTTTAGGCAACAAACATACATTTATTCGTTTCTCATACATTATTTCATTTCAGTACGTAGAGAATAGGAGGAACCTTTTTATAAACATTACTATCTAGCATGCCATTGTCAACACATTTTGAGTTTGTTATTTCGAAATGTTATTTGATATTTTTTCTTTACTTTTCATTGTGCATAATGGTAATGTCGACAGTCTTAATTGTTTTTCTTGATGTGTGTTTATTTTACAACAGCACATTTTTTGTGGATATAATAAAAACTTTCCATTAATGTATACAAACTATATTAATGAAATCCAAGGGAGTGCAGATACTGATATGTCGTCCTGCTGTTTGAGAACTTGACATCTGAATTTAAAACATTGAAACAGTACATGTATGTATTTCTATACTTATATTAAGCTCTGATAATACAAGCAATACGTATACTTTCCAGCGCAATAACCCAGACAAGTACTAGTAGTTCTTACAGATGGAATAAAAGCAGTGCAATACACTGATTTGATTAAATTCTAATTTTTCTATACAATACAAATCCATCGCAGCTCATTGCAGGCGAGAGTACCTGTATAGAGTAACACAGAGTGACAAATAAGTGTTCTGTACTGAGGTATATAATAGTTCTGCTTGACTGTGTTTTAGTTAGAATTAAGTTGGAATTCACGATTTGCTTGCGCTTATAAAGTGTCTTTTATATCAAAAGTGAATATGCATAAAAGATATTTGAAGGAACATGCACAGTTCCTTATCAAAATAAAATAGTCTTTGAAAAGGCGAAAATTTCTGTAGGTTTTTTGTGAATTTCGACCCTAGGGCATGGGTGCCCCTAAAATAAATCCCTATCTTTAATTATTCCGTACATCACAATCTATCAAAATGTAATGTTATTTTGGGCAGGCCTTCCCTGAAGGACTTTTATGCCAAAATTCATGCAAAAATCAGTGCTTTAACGTTCTAAACGCTGTTTTGGCCAACTTTGGAGGTGAATTTTAAAGTTGTAAATAATAAATTTTAGGTTCAAAATACAAATTAGAAACATTTAGACATACAACTAATGAATATTGATTTTTAAGTGTGACATTTCGGAAAATTGTTCTCTCCTATACGTTAATTCCTCTGCAATTGTGAAATTCAATACATCCTATATTGCTTACAAAAAAAAAAAAACTCTTTACATAGCTGCCACTATCGGACTATTCATTACTGACCAGACGAAATTTTTTGGTTACGTTCGATATTGAACGCTCGCATTACGAATGTTCCGGGGACTATTTGTAAATGTATTGCAAACCCAGCCTTCAATAAAACGCCGAGATATTGACTGCAAAAATTCTCTAGCCTTTTAGTAGTTTTTCATTTTAGACTATTAATTAGCTATATAAAAGATTTAGTCGAGTTATCTTTAAATAAACGTTTCCTTGGCCTCTCCCGACTCAGGATTAAAAAAATTGGGTCGGTAGGTAGGGAGGAATTTTTTTTATTCAAAAACACTTGCAAATTTCATGTTAAAAAAGTTATTATTGATATGAGAAAACTTACATGTAGAAATGAATAAAACAAGAGGCCCATGGGCTACATCGCTTACCTGAGCTCATTAGCTAGGAAGATGCAGAAATCAGTTCAGTATTGAACGGGGGATGGGGGCAAACTTTAATTTGAACTACCTCAAGATGCTTCCATTTCCAATATTACTAATCATGGCTTTGCTGTTCTTAAACAGAAGAATTCTAGAGATTTTTTTTCTATATTTTCCACCGTCACGGTAGTCAATTCTGTAGAGCTCTCGCTCCGTGATCGGAAGGTCATGGGTTCGAGCCCCGGCCGCAACTGACCTAAGTCGATAAAAAATAGGTAGCAACTATTCCCTCAAGCGCTGCGGCACTTTGAAGTGAAAATTGCGAGTCCTTCGGATGAGACCTAGTAACCGTGGCCCATTGTCACGGCAGGCGTAGGCACGATGAAGCTCCCTCACTGCTCAATGGCCCTGAGTGCCAAGTAAAGATCTAAATTTGAAGCCCTTCACCGGTATATGGTGAAGTCTCTACATGAGTGAAAAATTCTCGAACCGGACGAAAAACAACATACAATCAATCAATCCTATGTTTCCTATGTAAAACTCTGATCTCTCATTTTGGCCCCATTCTACCCACCCTAAATTCGAACAAATTTGAATCTACACTACCTAAGGATGCTTCTATAATAATATGACTAACTAGAAACTCATTGCGAGCAATGAGAGATCTTCCGTCCGATTTTGAAAATGAAAACGTAAATTCAAGCTGAAAAGGTGATAAAAGAAATTCAGACACTCTGGAGATTTAACCCTGGTTGTCAGCGTGAAAATCTCACGCGCTAACCATTAACCATTCACTTTTTTGCATCACTTCCTGTCACGACCGGAAGTAACGGCGATATAAGATTTCCTCGCGATTCAAATAAACTGATGACTGACTATCAGATCTGAAAGTTTTAGACTTCAGTCGTTTAGTGTTGCCGAGCAATATTGTGAGAACAAATTATAATTCTGAGGACAGGTAAACACGCGACCGGAAGTTAATTAAAAAAAAAAAATCTCTGACATTTCTCTATACATTTGCAGTATCTACAAAATGCATCAAAACATTTCAAGTACTTTATCGATAAGAAATATTTATGAGAAAGTTAAATATCGAAATAACCTAGTTTATCACCTAAAACCGGAAGTTGACGTTTTTGTTTCCGGTGGAATCTAACATATTTCAAAACAGCAAAAGAGATGCAATTAAGTGATGCAAACTTTAATTTAAAAAAGAAAAGTTAAAATTTTTGATTTCTTTGATCACTTCCTGTGACGACCCGAAGTTACGACAGACGCGTTTAACCAAAATGATTTTGCCTACTCCTCAAGGTCTGCTACTCATAAAAATTTGGTGTTTTAATCTTTTACATGTTTTTTGAGAGCTCGCTCAGACAATTTTTCATTTTGAGGACAGAAAAATACGCGACCGGAAGTGAATTTTTAAAAGATATTTGAGGTTACTTTAGACCTTTGCAGTCTGAATAACATATTTAAAATTCATTTCAAATACATTATCTATAAAGAATATTTATAGGAAAGTAAAATACTCAATTTTTGTAGTTTTTCTCTTATAACCGGAAGTCGTCGTTT